GTGTGTGTGTGTGTGTGTGTGTGTGTGTGTGTGTGTGTGTGTGTGTGTATAAAATCATACATGCATGGGTATAGTCTGGAAGGATATACAAGAAACTGGTAAGAAAGAATGCCTCTGGGAAGAGGCCAACCAATAGAGGCATGGAGGATTTGCCTGAAGTTTTCCAGTATGTATTACTGAATATGTACATCAGTAAATATGTTACTTTCTTACAAATTAAGATTTTAAATGGAGACACTTGCCTATAACAATACCAGCTTACAAATGTCCTAGATTTAAGCACCTGCCTTAGCCAAGGAACTACCCTCCCAAGTGGTACCCACATAAAAATACCTCTCCCCATACTCAACACTGTATGACAGAATCTTACTCCATCCTTGCTACCAGTATACACAAGAGACCCTATTTCTACCACTGAGAATGTCCCTCTTTACCCCTCAACACTAAGAAATTCCTGTCCACCACACTAGACACACGCTGGGTCCCATAAGCAGTATGTACAGTTCCTAGAGTATAGCTCTCCAGCCGGATTCCCAACCCACCTGTGTACACGGCTGCCGTCAGGACTTCATCTGAAACCAAAACACAGTCTTTACCTATCGTTTCTGCTCGTATCTATAAGCCTATTGGCTTATCTCAAAATGTACACTCTGGTCAGCCTCTTATACTCTGAACCTTGCCCAAGTACTTCAACCTGGTCTGACAAGCATCAGTGACATCAGCTTTATACTCAGGACTCTCAAGAACTAAACACTCCTTTTGACATGAACTGCCCCTTCGCTGTGACCTCTATGTAACAGACACACCATTTTAACTCTGCCCCATTGTTATTGCACCCACCTTTTCTTGACTCAATAATGAATTCTCTTTTTCTAAACCTTGGACATGCATTTTAAGTTTCAGATTGTCTTCAGCGAGACTGTTATCCTACAAACATGTTAAAAACAATGTGTTTTCAGAACAGGAAATTTCCAGTTTACAAGAAAGCAGGCAATGCATACAATTGTGCATTTCTACTCAGCATTTCTTCAGTGATATATAAAAATTATAAGCATGCAACACTGGGCCATCTAAAACCAGTCACTCATTTTATAGACATTTGTAGAGGATTTCTTTATTATATTTGAAAAACTATATACATACATTTACAAAACAACCTGTAATCATCAAAAAAGAAAGAACTCCCTGAATATCATAAAGGGAGATCAAAATGCATTCCCCATTTGGTGGAGGACCTGCTTCCATTGTCTCTACATATACATAACATTTGTCAAATTAATCTTCAAAGAGATATACTTCCATTTTTCAATTACGCAACTTTTAAAATTGTCAATTTATGATGCAAACAGTTTCTGTTATTAATCAGCAAACAGAAAATTACTAAGTTGAAAGTTCCTCAGATAAGTTCACAAGAATTTGTAAAAAAAAGCAAAACAAAATAAGCAGCTACAATAATCGAAATACTTTTTCTTGGTAAACCAATGCCAAAAGCTTTCTCTCTTAAAATGAGTTTACCTGGTTTAAATTACTCAGTCTCATTATTTCATTTTCAGCATCTGTAAAAACAACGGATCTGACATTAAAACTCTTTAACTTAGTAATTACCTACTAAAATTAAACTCAGAAGTGAAACCCAATTAAAATAAAGTATATTTATAAGCACATTAGCAAGCCCTCACAGTTCTTAAGTAAAATGTATTTCTGTTATTCTGTATTTCTGTTTTGACTATACCAAACAAATCACAATATAAATGCCAATTAGAAACTGTGTTTAAAATCCCATTCTATGAAACAGTTAAGAAAGAATTATAATTGTATCCTGAGTGAGTCATAAGTTATTGCCTTCATAAAAACATTAACAACTGTTTCAAAATAAGTTGATTAGTTTGTGTAGCAGGAAATAGTATAAGGACTAAGACGGAAACAAAACTTAAAAACACAAATATATAATTATACAACAATACAATAATCTATCAATTATTTAAAGTGACTTAAACATGAGTACTAATACAAAGGCCATTCACTCTGGACAGATCCACAAATAGAAGGGGTTCTAGAAGAAGAACACAAAGACAGTACCATGAGTTCAGCTGAACTCAGTCATTCAATGTTCATTCAGGAAATACTGAGCTTTTACTATGAGGACAGGTGCTAGACAACAAGATAACAAGATGGGAACCTTTAGTCCTTGCTTTACTAGACAGGAAACGGCAAACACCTAATTCAGACAGGCAGGGGCTGAGGGGGGTGGGGGGGGCCAGGGAAGCAGCAGTGTTAGGTACCCCCCGTGGATGCAGCACCTGTGCTGAATCTTAATACACGAAAAAGAGGGGAAAGAAACCGAGACACTCCACATAGAGAAAGCAGCAAGTGCACAGGTGACAGAGCTAAGAGACAACATTGCTGGCTTAGGCAGCTTTACAGAAAGTTCAAAATGGCTAAAGCTTAGAAAGTTAGGAGAATTGCAACTGAAGAGGTAGAAATAGACCAGATCATGAAAGACAATCTGACTAAGAAGTTTAGACTTCATCCTGAAGTTCACAGGGAGCGGAATCAGGAGAGGAACCTGCTTTGCATTTCTGAAAAATCATTCTGACTGCAGAAAGGAAAAAACTGTTTGAAGAAGGGATCATGGAGACCAGAGATTAATAACAGCTCACTTTTTATACTGCTTACGGTGGGCTAGACATTGTTTTAAAGAGAACTTTGTAGCTGGTAACTAAAAAAGTCCTCATTACCACTACGACTACGAAAAAGGAATTATCCCAACTATACAGATGAAGAAAACCAAAGCAGAGAGATGTTAAATAATTTGCCCAAGGTCAGCTAGTTACCGATGGACCAGGACCGTGTTCCAGGTCCACACCCCATCATGTTCTTAACCACTGTGCTATCCTGCTCCATTCAGAGACCAAAAGTCAACCAGGCAAACAGAAATTATGATTGGCTGTGGAAATGGAAAAAAGAGGAAAGCCTAAGGCAGATTTGTTTCTAAAGCAAATAAACTCATATGGATCACCCACTACATTGAATAAATGGATACATTTATTTTGAAAAGAGCAGAGATAATTTGATTGAAGTCAAATGAGAAAAAAGTCCAAAAGATGACTGTACAGCCTTCCATTGGCCGTCACAGCTGCTCCCAGGATGGAGGTACCTATGAGAAATCCTAGAGCACCTCTGGGATACAATGCTGAAATATCACTGAACCCGAGAGAAGCTAAGGAAATAGAACCTATAGGACATGCTAGGTGACGACTTCAAATTTTCTGTTTTGGGAGACTGGTAAATGGTACTAATTACCGAAGTAGGGAAAGCAAGAAAGAGGAGGACATGGTGACTTTACTTTGAGCCTGACTTGTGAATTTATAGAGTTGGCCATCCAGGTCAGAGGCTCATGATAAACAACTAGGTGAGAAATACAGATGGAGGGGGTGGGGGCACTCACAAGCATACACAAGGGCTAGAAACCTCCGGAGAAGGAATGAATGAGTTCACAAAGTGAGAGTTTATACTGTGAGAAGAAGACAAAGTGAAAAATAAAATGCATCTTTTCAGCTAAAGAGCTCCCATTGTGTTTTCCTGGCATGAATGAACACTACTGTTTGGCCTATTGAACACTTCTTTTTTTTGTAACACAGAACACTGGTATGATAACTAAATACCCTCTAGAGCATGGACAATGGTGGAAGGCCTATGGCTTTATCATTCTCCAGTCTGCTAGATACAGGAGATCATTTGGAAAGGTCATACACAATCTTGAAGAAGGTAGGCTGCGTTCCCTAACTGGAATGTCTGGGCCCTAATGAGTTGTTGTGTAATAAGTATTTTGTTCTGTATAGATTAACAGAAATAGACCCCCATCTCCTCCAAAAAAATGTCTACGCAAACATTTCTCACAAATCTGCATGGCCTCCTAAATCAATGAGTACCATGTAAATACTTAAAGGATGAGGAAGGGAAGCTGAGAGACACCTAGCCAAACTTAGCCCATTTTAGGAGGAAATTCTTATCTGTGATCTATTATGGCATTGAATCTAAAACAAACAATTCTATTCAAACTCCACAGTCATTTCCATGCATACTCCATTTCCACAAAGTACTAGTTGTCTCTAAAAATGCGTATGCAATGAAACACCAATCAGAAATAAGTTCCAAACATTTTATACCAGACAGTGCTTGTTGCAGTCTAAGCACTTCTTCTTCTACTGATGTACTCTGTGGACAAATTCTTTCCTTTTCTGTCACAGTACCACTCTGCTTCATAGCATAAGGCTGCAATTTACTACATTCCAGTTTCAAGCTTTCACATTCTTTAATTATTTGTCTGTTTTCCACATTTAGTCGTTCTTGTTCCTTCTTCAAAACATCTCTGTCATTTTCTGCAGAAGATAATTTTTTACTTATGTCTTTTATTTTATTCTCAAGTTCTTCAGTTTTTTTAACAGACTCTACTTTTTCAGTTTGTAGAATTTGAATAGTTTTCTGCATCTCCTGGATTTTAGAGTGATCAGTTATTGCAATTCCTGAGCCATCTAGAACATAAACATAAAATCAAGGACAACAAATGTCAAGTACCAAGAGTTAAATAGCTTGCTAAATACAACTAAGAGACTTCATAGACTTCAGAACTTGGAAGGCTTAAAAAGAAAAGCTAAAAACAATGAGACACCACTATACTCCTATTAGAATGGTGGAATCCAGAACACGGATGCCACCAAATGCTGGTGAAGAT